CAAAACGGATGAGTGACTTCGATAGCGCTGGGTGAACCCTTATCAAAGAATTGAAGTATTCAGGTCTTTAATTTGTAGGTACATTTAAAATCAAGGCACAAAATGCATATTGCGTAGGTATCCATTTTATGCCGAACACAGAGGTACAGTCGACTAGATCGAAGCGCATATGTAAGATGGCATACTGGTGTGACTAAAATATCCGCAGATTCCAACCTCTCTAATTTATCTCCCTTCTAAGCGATCAAGCACTTCCTAATCACAGTTAAACTTTCATGTGTTAGACAAACTATGATGCTTTGGGCGCATAAGGACTTACGTTGACAAGTTGGTTCAGAAAATGGTCGACCAAACGCAGTGAGTGGAGGACCTCACGAGCGTAGAGCATGGTACTGAGGATGTGGTTCATCCTGTCCGCCAGGGGGCGGTTGGTGGCTCCCAAGTCGGCCTGAGATGTTTGGTCCGGATAAGGGGTCATCCGGAGAGGGTAAGCAGTGCATGAGCCCGGTGAGAACGATCGTGGGGAAAAAGTCAGTTTAGCAATCTGTTCGTTGACAAAACCGTAAAGCATCCAGGAACAGCTGTGGTGGAAACAGAAAGCTTGGATTAGCTAGGTCTCAGAAAAACGCTGGAAAAGTGTTAATTAGTGGTGAAACATGTGAACAGGGATTTTATATCACAATAAGGGTAATCAACTTGAAAGTCCATTTCTTTGCATTTTCTGCTCCTACAAATATGATGGGTAGTTTATAAATTAACTAATCACTACATGAATATATTCTAATTACTTGTCTGGGACTACTTTATGGGACTGCTTTACGGGACTACTTTACGGGACTGCACAGATAGCAAATTCCGACGGAATTATGATTAACAAGTTTTGGACATTCACACTTTCACAAGAGCATTAAGAAGGTTATTGAAATGCGCGTGAGGAGCGTTAAAGCTCGTCCAAATAAAAGATGTTTTAACGAAGCTAGTTGATTAAGGAAGTACTTAAAAATATCTTCATTGATGCAAAAACTTTCAGGGCTTAAATTAGATGTAAAAAAACTCAAATACCTTTTCCTCGGTATTGTGCCCTTAAATAAACCATGTGAGGGATTCGCCTGATCAATAACGTCATATTTTTGTACAATCCGGACAAAATAATTGGCCTGTACTTAACATAGTACGCAGGTAATGCAACAAATGGTTGATCGGCGCAGACATTAAAACTGATTTCCGGATATAAAAAGAGAGTGTGTTTTACGTCATCAAGCTACATTCTTCACTATTAATAAACTGACGTTGTGGCCTTATAGGTTGTTATATCTCTTATGAAACAAATGGATCTCATCTGCATCGCCAGTTTTTATATCCCCGAGAAATAGGTAGAGGAAAAGCAAACAGCCCGAGAGACGCGGGTTCGAAACTCGAGTGTGGCGGCAATTTTCGCTGTTACACTGGAGTTGAGCTACCACCACCTGATGACGTCCAACGAGA